CAGAGCCCACCCCCCCACCCACCCCCTTTGCAATAATTTGCTCAAATGGGCTCTGTCCTGCACAGCTGGTTGCAGGGATCAAACTTTCCAGGCAAATCACCGGGGGGTTGGTAAAAATGCCCTGGGCCATCCTTTGGAAGACACTGCAGGCAACAAGAAATCCAGGGCATCAGGATCACAGAGCTGAGGTCCCTTCACTACTGTCAGCCACGGCAGCTGCCCGTCTCCTCCCTCTGCTCAGCCCCTCTGCATTGCCTGAGCAGTGTCTGGTTTGCAGTGCACCAGTCCCTTGCTAAGGACAACACACGCTGTTCCTAGTCACATCCCTTAGCCGGCTAAGTGATGTGTGGATGTAGCTCAGCAGACCTTTGCAGACACCCGGATGCACATGTTCCTCCCCACGCAGTAATGACCTCCCCAGAGCTGCACCAGTTGGCACCAGCTGAAAAGCTGATCTAGACTGGCAGAGGAAACGGGGCACGAAAGACAAGTTTTGTAGTTCAGCACTGGTGGAGGAGCTAGAGGGTTTAATTGCATAGACCAGCTGCGTGTTCCTGGGCAGGCCACGCCGGTTCAGACGCTGTCTCTGTAATTGCCCTATGCTTTAAAAACTGTCTCCTCTCCGCATGTTACAGGCTGAGCATGCAATGCTTAGGGGAAGGCAGCTGCACCAGATGTGGGATGCAGCCAGCATTGCTAGTGCTCACGATCAGGTAACCAGCCTCCTGCTATCTGGTGTTTTTCTTAAAGCCTCAGCTCCTGGGGGGCTGCAACGAGTGAAACGTGGAGCTTTGAACCCCCCCCCAATCCCTCCGTGCGTCTCACCCTCATGTTTGCACAGAGAGCAGCATAAAAACATAGACTAGAAATGCTCATTAAACTAGAAGGGAAAAATACTAAATCCCATCGTTTCTTAGAAGTCAAATCTCATACATATTTGAGGCCTGAGTCAGGATTGTTGAATGCTTGGGATTGGCAACACGCCATGGCTAAATATACAGGATCTGTCCTTGACTTCTCCCCTTCACCCTCACCAGGCGCTGCGGAGATAGTGGCTTGAGACATGTGTTCAGCACGGCCCTTCCAGACTGTTAACTCTTTAGAGAAGTCACCAGGCAAAAATCTCGCGTTTGGAAAGCATTAATAGGAACCAGGCTACAAGCCAGATGCTTGCTTGAAAGGAAAAATAAGGGTGAGCACGCTGCTGTGAGACGGTGGCAAGCAGCGCTGTCCAGGGAGGCATGCAGCAAGGCAGCCCTAGAGCTAGATCCTGCATGCCCAGCCACGCTTTTATAATGGGAGAGCGCTAGCGAAGGGTTACAGCCGTCCGCGGCATGGAGCACAGGGCTACTACCATCTTCCCGATCCATTTGCCAGGTTGCTTTTTAAGACTGCTTGCAGGCACTGTAGGAAAACTCCCCGCATAACAAGGCTGGCGGTTGCACCAGAAACCATCAGCGTGCAACTTGGTCCCAACCTGCAAGGCAGGACGGTCTGTTAAGAGCCAACACTGCACCTCTGAACATAAGACGTGCCACACCGGATCGCACCAGGGGTCCAACTAGCCGAGTGGCCTGTCTCTGACAGCGGCAAGTAGCAGATGCTTTGAAGTGTATCTGGTGCGGTGCATCCTCCCTGCTATCCACCGCCATGGGTTTCGGGAGGTCAGAAGACACATCCATGACTCTCCTATTTAACAGCTCTCAATGCACTTGTCCTCCACGAATCTGTCTAATCCCTTTCGAGCCTGGCGATACTGTCTGCTTCTTGTGGCAGCAAGCTGCCTAAGTTAACGAGGCATCGCATAAAAAAATATTTCCTCTTGTTTTTTTAAACTGGCCCCCTACTCATTTCACTGGCTGCTCCTAGGTTCCTATATTTGGGGCTTGGGGAACACCAGTTGCCTGTTGACTTCATCCACACCCTTCATGATTTTATAGACCTCTCTTACATAGACCCTGTCACCCTTCTTTCTGAACTGAAGGGGCCTAGAGATTTTTAGTTTCTTGTGGTATAGCAGCTGATCCATACCTCCATCATCTTTGTTGCTTTTTGTAAAGCAATCCAGGGGATGATATCACTGGCTAGTCAATCGGTACAATAATATGTAAAGCACCCGAACAGAACTCATGGAAGACGCTGCGGCAATTCACAGATGATTTTATCATCTTTCTGGTGGTGGGTCACCCGCAATTGCCTTTCAAGCTCTCTCTCAAAGCACAGTTTAGCAAGTTTAGCTGATGGTGATAGGCCAGCTAAGTCATAGGGCACCTTTTCACTTTTCTGACTTCATGAATGCAAATATTCTCTGTGCAATCTTGGTGGCTTTTGTGTCGGGTGTCAGGGAACGTCTCGTTTGGTTGGTGGAAACCGTATTACTGCTGTTTGTGTAAAGGAAGGAAAGTAGTCAGCCAGGACTGTAAGGCTTCTAGATACAATGGGACTTACTAAATATTATGTAGTTGTGTGTGTGTGTACACCTGTACACACACACACACGTATATATACACACACATATACATGTATGTGTACATATACATACATGTATGTGTA